GTTGTTTAATTGGGCAGTAAAAGAAATGAGAGCCATGGTGTTGCTCTAAGATTCGTACTCTATATTAAGGCGGCGGGCCTTTCACACATGAACAAGCTAAGCACGCCTACACGGCCGATAAAAAATGTGACGCCGGGTAGCATTGTTACATAGGGAGCTTAAGCAACAACGACGGCAAAGGCAACGAGAACGGCAAAAAAGCAATCGGTTTAGATTGGCAAAACAATCTCCCCACGGATTCCGGAATCTTGGAAATTTTTCTTCGTGGAATCGGGAATCCTGGGCCTTGGAATCCGAAAAATACTGGAAACCGGAATCCCACAAACAATTGGAATCCGGAATCCAATTTTCACTGAAAAAGATGTGGAATCCAGTAATTAGAATCCGGAGTCCACTGCGTGGAATCCAGACTGTCTTGGATTCCCTTACATGGGGGAGAGGGGTGCGGGGGGGGGCGGAAAACAACAACTTTGTACGTGCATCACGCTTTTTTGTACATTTCTTCGCCGGCGTTGCACGACTACAACGTGAAACTGCCTAATTTCACGTTTTGTCGAGAAAGTGAACACAAGACAACGACTTTCTTTTTCTTTTCCTGAACTTTGATACAGTCCTTTAGAATTCAACTCTAGAAAAATTTGCCACCATTTGACGAAATGAACGAGATGGAACATGCCCGATAACGATTGACGTCCAAGATTGTAGGTAAGTATATTCTTATGCGACATCAATACTTTGGTTATCTGTAGTATACGAAATCTGTTATCAGCACCTTCTCTAACACGTTTCTGAAAGATCATAATCTTGTTTTTTATTTATTCATTTAATTATTTTTAACGTGCGCTTGTTGAAGTCATTGCCCCCGCAGGGATTTCGCCGAGAGGCGAAATCCCGAGGAGGCACCCTAGTAACTCGCGCGTATGTTAAGGACAGCACTTACAGTTCAAATATACAGTCAGTATACTAGAAAAAATCTCGATGTGCTCGAACTGGGGCCGCGAGGAATCGGTAGGTAATGATGACGTTTCTATTGTTTGCGCCCGCAAGTACGAGATGGTTAGGATGATGTGATGACAGAAAATCCCGAAGGGACCACTCAGGTAGATTTTGTGACATTTATTGTGCAGTCATACTCTGATACTCTTGCGTTACGCAGTGACGTTCTGTGGAGCAGTTGTTTTGAAAGTTATGGACCAAAAGACACTCGTTAAGCGCAGGCGAGGTTATAAGGTGCGTTTAACTGTGTCTATATAAACACTTGGAGAGACACGAGTCCACAAATCTTTGATTTATACTGGCCATGGAAACCTTGCCAGACACTCCTTCTCTCTCTTTGACCGGAATAAGACTCAGCCCCAAACAAGCAGGACGAGTGAACAACGGCTAGCTTATCACTAGCAGACTGTGATGGACATTTACAGAAATTCGCCGACAATCAAATTCTGTGCTGACTTATTCCCTGCTCACAGATGTCCTTCCGTTATAAAGTTTCAAATAAGACTAGAATGCGCGAGCGTGAATCGATCAAACGTCCTTTTAATTTCTAAGGCTTACTTTCCGGCAAATAAAATGAACTGAATGTAAAAAGTGAAAGAGAAATAGCGAAAAATTCAACTTCTAATTCAATCTTTTCTTATGGTTTAGAATAAACTATTCTCGAAACTGAGAATGTTTTGATCAAAGCTGTGTAAATCGAGCTGAAACTGTGCATGGAACCTTGCGTTTCCTGTATTTATCTCACCTATTGTATGGAATATGTGTGAAAATCTTCATTATGAATCGGTATATTTCAAAGAGCTACACAACCAGCAAGAATACTATTGACCGACAATATACAGAGCGGGGGCAGCTGTAGTGTCAACTATTACTAGTGTATAAAAATAGTACATATGACAGTATTGTAGACCTGTTTCAGTTCGTTAAAATCTTCAGTTATTAAACAATCTACATATTAACTAAAAAAAAGGATGCTGAGTGACCTCCAAACTTCCCTGTTAAGTCCATAAATCAAATTCAATAAATCATACCTTATTTTAGGAAATTAACGCTCCATGAAATTAACGCGAATCGTTAAAATTCGCGTTAATTTAAGTCGTTAATTTCCGCAACGTTAATTAAGTGCAGTGTTAATTTCCGCGCTCTTAATTTCCAGTATTTTAACCCAGATTTAGGAACCTGTCCAGACATTAAACATTAACTACGAGCTTTCTTTCTTTTCATTTACCCCTTATTTTTCATCTTTCACAAAAGCTAAGGCGAAGGTTTACAATATTTCGAGTTCATGTTCATCGTTGTCGCTGTCAGAAGTGATGTCAGCTCAGTTTTGATCAGTTTTGAATTTTTTTGCATCCAGTGTTGGAATAAATTTGTTCCAGTTGTCACCACCAACTGTGTCTTAATCGCGTTAATTTTCTTTATTATGAAATTCTACCTCCTCTTTTGCGTTAATTCTCTTTATTCGAAAGTCGTTTTCCATTAAATTCGCGTTAATTTAAGTCGCGTTAATTTCCAATACCTTAAATTTAATGGAGCATTAATTTCCTATAATAATGTAAACCATTATTATTTTGTAACAAAGCGACAAGATGAACCAAGAAAAGGAAATTTCTGATTTATTGCAAAATTATCTTAAAAAGAGCACGTTCTTGAAATCACGATCGACCGAAAGTTCCTTGAGCCAGTCGGCGTGACTGCACATGTCATTAGAAATTAATTTACATTGCATTTGCACGATATAGTACAGATAATCACATGATTTCGAGTGCAATTTGGAATTAATAAGCCCGAGTAAATTTTTTCAAAGGCTAACAAAATTGTGGTCTTTGAAAAAATTTATTATTTCGGCGTAGAAATACTCGAGCAAAGTGTTAAGCTCAGCCGGCTGATAATTTTCTATTTCATCAGTAATTTCATTATCTACGCACCAATTCTTCCAAACAGAGAGCCAAAAACCAGTGCTTTTCGCAGTGTTTCTTTTTTAGAGCAGTTTTTCAGCTCCTCTACAGTTGTTTTGGTCGCAAAAGCAAATGTGCTGCAAACGCCAACCATTGCGGGTTTTGCTCGAAACTGGTCCGGAGCGGATCCAAATTTTGCGCCATTTAGATGGCGCATTTGATTGGCTCTCAGTGAGTTCCTTTGTTTATTAGCCTAACAGAGCGTCACGTTTGTTACTCTTTTCTGCATTAAATTACCTTTTTTCTGCACCGTGTTACCTGAAAACTGCATTTCTCTTAGCCAATCACAATCGAGAAATTTTTTCATATATGTTATCTCTAAGTATGTGTAATCAAATGATGACGAGTGAAATTAGGGAATAATTTCACGCGCGTTTTGTCCAAATCCTTATAACAGTAGTGATGTACATGTATGAAAATTGTTTTGATGGATAATATTTAAAATTCATATTTATTTTGATGGAATTGCATGATGAATGACTTTCCATTCAATAATCTTCTTTGCAAAGGTGATGAAATAGCAAAACCTATACAGTGTAACATTCTTAGGTGATTACAACAACAAGGAAAGAATTAAACTATCTTTGTTCAGCTGTCCCCAGCTGGTAGGAAAAAGTCTTCAGAGGGCAAGGTATGTATTACTACAATGTAACAATAACAAGCTGCATGTCATGTAGTACTGACATGCAAGCAACTGCTGACATAGTTTAGGATGTCCTGCTAGGCGGTACTATTTCCTTAAATAATACAGGCCAAAAGGACAAGGCATTTTTTACGAAAAAAAAAAAAACACTCCTGTTTAGTTACCCTGGCTTTTTGGAAACCTAAAGAATGACCGTTTAGCAATAAAAAAACCCAGATGTGATATGCCTCCTAACAAATGTTGCTAAAACTCAGGATGTCCCGCTGGACGGCACCATTTTCTCCGGTAATACCGGCCAAAAGGACAGGGCCACTTTTATGAATAAAAATATTCCTATACAGTTATCCTAAGCTTTCTCGATCTAATCTCCAAGCAAGGGAGACCAAAGGCCCCTGTAAGCGCGTTCTTGTCTTTTATCAAATCATGGCATGACCGCGTTAAGGTCTCAAAATGAAGGCCCTGAGGGGGTGTCTCCTTTTTTGTCTAGGATTACTCTGGCGCATCGTTTCTGTGAATTGATAACGTCTTGGATGTGCGGCTTCGCTTTGCTTCATGTTCCCAACACAATAACCCCCATAGTCAAGTATTAGCTGAATAAGTGAGTTGTAAAACAAACTTCTCAGCTTTCAGTCACAGAAATGTATCTGTTCTTTTCAAATGGCGAAGTCGCTTTCCTATATTCAATACCGTTGTTTAAAAACAGTTGTCTATCTTTATGCCGGGTAGTTTAGTATCGGCTATAGAATCAAGCTGAACCTAAACTGTTCTCACAATAAGATTTCTGCCGTTCAAGCAGTTAGCGCCAACTTGTGCTGTAGACAATCGCTTGCAGGGACGAGAATCATCAGCAAACGCAAACGCAAACACAACTTACATATGAGCTTCTGGGAACGAAAACTCGAACTTACCCTATGGCTATGTGGAAGACGCGCTCAGAGCGCTAGCCTAATCACCAATTAACCGACTGCTGCTTCAGCCACGAACACTGAGATACACCGTCTTTAGAAAATAGGAGTAGTTGATTATGTAACTGAAAAGGAAGCAGCGTACTTACCACGGAAACTGCGAGGTACTGTTCTCTATGACGCAACCAGCAGTCAAGAGACGCTGGGCTTGGTTTTTCCTTCGTCGTCGAATCGCCCTCTAGTCTTTAAAGCGCATGCCTGTATTGGCGGATTATGACGTGGTCGATTTCCGGCAAATTCATTGGCTTAGAGGCAAAATCACCTTGAGATGTTGTCGAGAACAAAAGGCAGCTTTTTTTTGTCGGTCCGTAGCGTTAACGTTGTGGTTTTGTTCCCCCTATGAGAGATCGACAATTATTTTGGTCGAAATGTTTAGTGATATGTGTTGTCTAGAGGATAATGTATCCCGGAACTGTCAGACAAACACAGTAGCTCGATCCGTTTAATCGAGATCAACGTTGCGATCGGCGCTGGTTGCAAAAAGAAGACATGCTAAAAAGGTGGGTAATGTTCACTTTTTATGTTTAGTGCAAGTCACGAGAATTTATATAGCAGTTGAAGAAACGCTGGGGGTACCCAACGACAATTTTCGGAAAATATCTGTTCGGAAGACGATTTGAGGTCTAGAATTTTCGGAACATTTGTTGTAAAATTTTTTGGTTGCCTTCCTCTCCTAGGATTTTCGAACATCTAAAAACCACTATAATTGCCCATTTTTAACGGATTTTTACCCCTTAAAAGGTCACCTAGAATTTTCGGGAGCCTTTTTTGTGGCTGAAATTTTCGAAAAAGTAAGTTTTGATCCCTATAATTTTCGGATCACTAGACTTTCAGCTAGGAAATCCGAACAGATGAAAAATTTTTAGGGGATAAAAATATGCCTATATCTACCGTTTAAATACTAAAATACGTTTAACAATGCTATGTTTAAGTGGTTTTGAACTATATTCTCGTTGGGTGCCCCTGAAACGCTATTGAGCTTTGTTTTGGCGAGTAAGCGTGTACCGAGGTGCAAGGAAGAAGCAGTTTATATAAACGTATGGACCGTTTTTGTGCCAAATTGTACAACTTGACTGTTCGATCTGTACAAACACACAAGTCAATGTAAACACCTTAGAAATTTTATGCTTCATAGCTTTTATCGCAAAACAGTAAGACACGTTAGAAAATTTAAAAGCAGAGAAATTGCTTCGATTTAGTAATATTTATAGTACAGTTTGCACCTAGTTGCAGGAAAGTGGCAGTAAATTACCGTTTCGGTGCATTAATTTTCATTCATCAAAACAAACAAATCTGTCTGTTCATCGCAGAAGTTTGTGCTTGGTCCAAGTCTCGTGCTTCCCGGCGGTATAAAAACGGAAACTTACTATATCGGTGGAAAGAAATATTCTTTGACTTTTTTTGGCATATATGGTTTAACTTCTATCGACCTCGCACAGAAGCGGCAGGTTTGTAAAGCACGTAGAGTTGTTTGATGCTAAAATTCGACATGATTTTAACATCTCAATGTTAAATTAACTCAAAGATTACATGTAAGCTTATAGTTTTTTTAAAAATGGGCGATTGGTTACTATCGAATTTCGATCTTGCAAAACTCCATTTTGATCGATCCAACATTATTAGAAATTTCAAAGCTATCTATGCTAGAAATCTTTCTCTCTGCTGTCTTCAGCTATTGTACATTCCAACTTGCAATTAAAAAGGATCGACAAATCGATTATAATATTCTGTATTTTAAGTTGGTTTTGGGATTATCCTCAAAGAGGCACACAAGGGTATAGGTTTGGGTTTTCTGTGGTTACTTCTTTGCTTGTTGTTGCATCAATAACAAGGCAATAAAATATTGACATATGAATTTCCTTCATTTATTTACTTTTTTTTTCAGAGAAGATGAACTTGATCCCAAATCAAACGATAACTGCAGCAACACTTTTCGAAGTTTTCTGAAGGTGAATTAACTAAAAGAAGATGCCGGTAGTTGGTCTTTGAAGTACCTGTATCAGAGTGACAATAATATGAATAAAGATCTTACTCATGGAAAGATCTGGGTTTTTTGCTCCTTTGTAGTAATTTAGCATGTACAATAAACACTTCAGCAACCAGAACAAATTTAAAATCCTGGCATAGTTATTCCAACCATTATGTTCTCTTCCTTTTCATATAGGGTGTTATTACAAAGATTTTTCCCTCAAAATATTAGTTTATACTACCTAAGATTGTGACTGAAGCTCATGCTAATTTGAAGAAAAAGAAAACTAGCTGCGTCATGGTCAAGCACACCCCTTTGGACCGTTCGAGTCCAATTTCCAGTCTGATTTGCTAGCCGGTAGCAATTTTTTTTTTTCCATTTATTCATCATCAATTCATCATCAAAGTTCATATGGGTTGTAGTGCATTACTGCATAGTGCACATCTTCCTCCGGTGCTCTATCATTTTATGAACTAAAAGAAGGCCGGGTTCACGCACACGTGCGTCTTGTTAGCTCTAATCAATGGTCAATTTTCTGTACGAGTTATAGAACCGTGAAATCTCGACATTTTGACACTTTTCCAGTCGTGAGGTAATGAACCGTACACCTGCCAGATCATTCTTTCTGTTGACATTTGCTTGAAAAAACGATCTTTGATCCTAGCGCACTTGTAAAATGGATTCCAAATCACTGATATCGTATCAGAGGATTATAGTTTTTGTTTGATATTAGTCAAAAGTAAATCAACTGCGGTAAACTGAAGATACAGTCCAGTTCAGAACATCAGGTTAAATTTTCAAAGCTATTCCCGGCGTTGTTTAGCATTGGTCACCCAGTGAAGGCCCTTACATAATGGAGACCGTAAGAAAAGGATGGGCGGTTTTGAGTATTTGAATTTTAGAGTCGGGGGTATTTATTTTTATTGCCTATTAAAAGCCATCTGTGCATGATTGTAAAAAGGCCATCGTTTATGATTTTTCCAAAAAACTGTTATCATTAAATAGTTTGGAAATGAGTAAACTGACGATGAATGGCGAGATTTAGAATTTTAGACCAGACGTCACATTCCCAGTCAGTTTAGAAAAAGACAGTCGTCTTTCATGGTCACTGAACCGGGAATGGACCCGAATGACGCAGGTGTTTTGTAGGAATAAACTTCTTTCGTGGAAACAATCATATCGCTGGGCCGAAAAGTCCCAAGTACATATTTACTGAACGACTTGCCATTTCATTGTCTTATTCTAGTTTTGGCTTTAAACTAGGGGTTTTTCCTACTTATAATTCCGAATAGATTGCATTGGCATCTCTGCGGTAGCAGTCACATGAGTTTGACTTTGGGAGCCAGTTGCATAAATCTCAACGTGAGACACACCAGCTAATCCCTATTTCAAACAGTACAAATTATTAGCTAGAAATGCTCTACTTTTTCATCACCCTTATATAATTCTATCTCGTTCCAAATGCGCATACTTCTTTAGTTTTCAAAGAACTGACAAAAGTAAATAGAAATAATTTCTATTTATTTTTGCCATCTGTCGAAAAACGACTTATCTATTTATCTTTTCCACAACCTTAACCAGAGCCTTTAATACGCCGATGGAATGCAGACGAAAGCGGGTTTAAAGCGATCAAAGAAGGACTAAATTCCCTTAAAATACAAGGAAATATAGAGGGAAGCGGCCAGAGAAGTCAGAGGAAGGGTTTCGTCGTGCGGAGAAGATCTGGAAAAGGTACCTACTGAATTGGGGAAAATTAAATGAGGGATTCGTTCGAGAAGCAATATCGTATGATTTCCTGACGGTGGCGGATGACGGTCGAGTCAGAAACTCGGGCATTCATGTAGTTGTTGATTATGTAAGCTTAAATGATTTTTATTGAGGGTCGCTGACTGGATTCAGCTGTACGGTGATGCTCTTCAGTCCTTCTCAATTTTCTAAACATCAGCCGAAGCGGGGTAAGTCTATTTCGGGTTCCTTTGTATCATCATCAAATGGATACGTATCGGTCGATACCGATCACTCGATCATTTTATAAATTCTCAATAACTGCTAATTGTGTGAAAGTGTAATGTTCATGGAGAATGTTGATGGAGATCACTATTTCTTATGCCTGATCGCACTGAAATAGTTCAGTTCAGTCACAGTTCAGTTTTTAAGTGTGGATCGTAGTGGATATTTTAACACTGTCTGATTAAATCTGTGAAGTTAATTGTTTTAAGGGTATGAGAAGTGTAACCGCATGAATCAGAGATTTTCAGTAAACAAAGCAATTGCACTTTTGAGCTTTGGTCAAACTCAGGTATGGTTGTGAGTTTTAGGTTTAATGTTTAGACTATCTTGTTTGTGTTTTTGCGGTGACTCGAATCTCAGTTTGAAATGTCTGTATTTGTTTTTTTTTTTTAAGTTTAATGATGAGAATTTGTGCTTTAATTGAAATCGAGTTTTTTTTTCTTATGCGATCATTTGAAGGTACTTGAAGTTATTCATAACTTGTGATCAATAATAGATGGTATAATTGTTAAGAACTTCCTTGAATGCATTTTAGTGTTGTTGAGAGAAGATGGTGATGACCAGCCTTTAATTTTACAAACAAAACTAATCCTAAAGGAAACATTGATGATAGTGCATGTCCAGCATTAAGTAAAACAGTTCAGTGGCCTTCCTGATGCAACAGAGCAGCTTAGCCTTTTTAGGCTGTGGCTCTGTGAGAATTTTATTCTCCAGGTGTCTCAGAGGGAAATAAAAAATAGCTTTACTTTTAAGACATTGTTTAAGTATTTAGTTCCCAGTATTGTATCGTGTTGCTCAAGTGCTCTTTCAAATATTGCAAGTGTTTCGCTTACATTTGAATTTAACTCCATCCAGATGCAGTGAGGCCTTTGAAACTAACGCGTAAATTTTAAAAGTTTTCGCATGAGGCAGTTTCTGTTTGGCGGTTAGTGTTAGTTCTGGCCTTGAATCCCGGCCTTGAATGAAGGTTCCATAAAAAGGTTGCGTTTACATAAAATTATGGAGATCTTGTAAGCACGAATTGAAATATATGAAATGATTCATAAATTGTTTTGAACTGCGCATGAAGGTATGAAAGTGAACATGATCATCGCAGTAAAATGCGCAGCCTATTCGGTTATTTTTGCCAGTCTGAAAAGCGTTAATCAAATGTACCCGTCAGATACATCTAGAAATCCGTTTTAACCTTGCCTTGTGT